ATTCATGCAATCGCTGCAGAGCGCGGTCGGTGCTGCCAGGCAGCCACCCCTTCCCGGCGCCGTGCTCTGCGCAGACCTGATCTGAATGCTAAATGCAGAGGACTAGATTAGCATACTAACCAAGTCATGTCAACCCCAGGCAATCAGCAAATGGCCATCTCCTCTCTACCGCCAGTGCGGCAGAGCCTGCCAGAGCTTTAACCGTGTCCTTTGTCAGATCGCGGTCTCTGTTTGCATTCAGCTTTTATTTTCCAATCAGACCCTCTAAATTCATTAACGAGAATGAAAGGTAGAGATGCAAAAACCTGTAATGAAAACAAATGATCTATTTAAACGGTGTTCAGGCTGAAAGGAGGGGTCTTGCAGTGCTGAGATCAGAAGAGAAGAAAATCCTGCAGCCTGGAAAATGCCCAGACACATGCAGTGTCCTTTCCAGTGCCAGGGCTCCGATGAGACAGTTGCTACAATGCTGGTAGTCTGTGTACGGATGTCGTAGCTTTATCTTTACAGAGACTCAAAAAAAAAAAAGCCAGCAACTGGCCAAAAAGAGAAATCTTAATAATTCCTGCTCTGGCCACTCTTAATGTCATAATTACTACTCCTGCTGTTATACTAACTTAAATTGGAAAAAAAGCTTCGGTGCCTGTAAACATAAACTTTTAAAATCGTTTAAATCACTCAGATCATTCCTCCCGTTTTGAAAATGTTGTGAGCCGGGGCAGCCCCCGCCCCAGGGCTCAGGGCAGGGCACAGCAGCCTGGCGGCACTGCGGGGTGCAGGCCGGGCACCCGCCTGTTCAAGTGCCTTTGTCTGGAGGGTTATTTTTTTTTAACGTGCTTTACAGATGTTAAACTGTCAATGGTTGCGCAGAATAAAAAGATATAATCCAGGCATGGCCTTTTTATCAGAATCTATCAAATAAGGGAAATTTTGAAATAATCTCTATTGCATGATTTATTTTTAATGGTGTGTGGGTGCTTTAAATATCACAGAGGCATATGTCAACAGGATTTTTATGTGAATATGAATGTGGAAAGGAGGAGTATGTGATCAGCCCCAGAGCTCCTCAGGTAGTTTGAGTGTCCATAAGTTTGAGGCTTGTTTCTCTCTAACTCTAGAGGATTGGAAATAGGGACACAGAACGCACAGCCCGGGGACACTCTCCCTGTTGCTCACATCTAATGGCAGGAACCTGAATACAGCATCACTGAAAATGTGCCAATGTCACAAGAACTGTCTGGGCTCTAAAGACCTGGGTAATACATACTTTTGGGAAGCAGGAATGTTAGCAGAGATAAAGGAGAATGTATTTCAGATCCCTTTTTTCCCATATTCTTAGTGCAGACTGGATGATATGTGCAAAGCCTCTTACGTTGTGTGTGTCTAATGAGGTATCTCCACTAATTTCAGTGGAGTCATGCTGATTTACACCAGTCAAGAGCCCACAGCTTAAATGTTTTGAAGACAGACAAATTAAAGATTCTATCTGTTGGAGAAATTGGAAGAAAACCTCTCATTACCTGCCATATGCCTGTATCTTCCACTAAGGAAAACAACAAGAGAATCAGCTAATGTTTAAGGAAACCTGTCTAGTTTTATACATGTTAAGGACATGATCTTACTCAATATAATTTCATCTGCCTTGACAATTAGACAAACACACTGAAATCATTAAAAATCTTCAAAAATTATCCTTGACTACAACAAATCCTTGTAATCAATCTTTTAATTGCAAACACTGCAAAAAGTGATGAAATGTTTGCGGCTTGTTATGAGTCCTATGAACTACTGCTGTACTGTTTGAGAGTTTTGGAGCCACTAGAATAAAATCCTATTTGCCCAGAAGCTTCTGAGCCTCTGTGTCAGTTCAAAAAAAAAAAAAAAAAAAAAGTGTTTTGGGAAATCATATGAGAACTCTGTCATATGTGCCAGCACATCACTCAGATGATGAGCCAGAAGTATGTTCCCATTCTATTTTCAGTACTGAAATAAAATATAGGAAAGTTACTAAAAGCATGTTATAGTCTTATACCAGAAGATCAAGACAAACTGAAGAACAAACCTGGAAAAATATTAGCAAATAGAAAGGATATGGCTTTGGGGAGCAATATCTTATTTGGGACGTTCATCACTAATTCTGGATGTTTCTTATGTCCCCAAAGAACAGAAGAAACTTTAGGCAGTACCTGCCGACTCTGGAAACAAACATGGATTTTCCACAACCTTTTTCTTGCTGTCAGTAAAACCTGCAATTCAGAGCATGTGCTTCACTGCCTGATTGCAAAATAAAACTGTCTCACTCAAAGAGAAAGCTGCAGCGCAAATGTTGTCTGCCCTCTGATATGGAAGCATGAATTTCTCTGGATGTAGCAGTTGCCATGGTCACAAAGCAAACCAGCCCCGCCGAGGTGAATCAAACTCCCAAGTACCACCTTTCCTTTGGCAGGCGGGGGGATGCTATGTGCACTGTGATTTTCCCTGGATGCTTCCACAACAAGCACTCTAAGTGCAATGGGAGTGATGTCACGGCAGCAATACGGTGTGTTTTAGTGCAGGATCTGATAGGAACTGCAGCGGGCTGAGGTCGTGCCCTGGAAAACAGAATATTCCAATCAAGCTTTTCTGCTGCTCAGGGAATCTTTGAAAGCAGGATCTGATCCTGCTTGTGTGCTGGAACAGGAGGTGATACAGAAGGGTGCAGCCCATCGGTGTCAGAAACCACGAGCATTACTAACAAATGTCCCTTTGTATGCTGAAATACAGCAGCGGCCCTACTTTCTCCACTTTCTTAGCACCTACTGACGAACAAGTACCCAATAAACAGGCAATTCCAATAATCTAATGTAATAAAATCTGTGACAAATACAGCAGCAATATGAACGATGGTATTTTTCTCACCACTCTAGGTAGAAATCAAAGCCTTCAGTTTAAAGACCAAGTGTGTCTTAGATCCAAAGGAAATATGAGAACAACACGCACAAGTTCCTTTTTGCAAGTGAAGGTAACGGAGCCTTGTTCTACTCAGAAATGGCTTGGTCTTCACAGAACTAAAATTACTGATTTTCTTTTCTGAAGATGGTTAGGAATACAGGCCTCCTCTTGAGGCAATTGAGTCTTAAAATATCCTACCCTTTGGCAAAATAAAATTGCACTTGCTTGTACCGATACTACAATTTTTAAATGTTAAACTTCAGCTAAATGAAAGCCAATTTCCACCTGGACAATTAGAAGTACCATCCACAAAGTTATCTAGTATGTTCTAGTATGTTCTAGCATTGTATTTACAATACGACAAAATTAGTCAAGACATAATAGCATGAAAAAGGTACAAAAAAACACACACTGTAACCTTCCTGAAATGTTTCAAAATTTCTCCATTTCAGCCTCTTTTTATCTTTCTTTCTCTTCCATCTCTTACCTTCTGCCTGCTTTTCTGTTCTTTCTCTGATTCATCTTTCTTTCTCTCTCATTCCCAGATCAAAGTCAAGAATATTAGTTCAAGCTTGGGGAAGGTGGATTTTCAGTGTTAACATTCCTCACTCAGGTCTTTGGATTCAGTTTACAACATTTGAAGACCGCCATACACCACACACGAAGGATACAAACGCCTGGGAAGTTTCCTGTCTAAACAGGACAAAGTAGACGCTTTACTTGGGATCTTCTCAGATTTTAAAAACGCAAAGAGAATGAATGTCTTTGCACATCGCAGAACTTCCCAAGGTTTCCATTTAATTTATAAGCCTGATGATTCTCAAGAAATTGAAGTGTGCACTTAGGTTGTAAACAAAATACTTCAGATAGAAACGTATGAAGAAAGCAAGAGAGAAATCTTCCTCAAGGGATTTAAAAAAAAAAAAAGGTAAATAAGGAAAGAATCTAAATCCAAACTTACACCTTCCATTTTTTAATCTAGATAGAGGATACTGATAAGTGTTTCACGAAACCAACCATTAATGTCGCTATTGCTATCAGTATTACACAAAGATAGTTTGATACGACAGAGTATCCCAGATTTTATGAATGACTCTCTGACTCAAGATATACAGATAAATTAAAAACAGGTACTTTACAGTGACTCAGTGAATTCTAGATACACAAAAAAATAATTTTGAATGAAATTACTACATTTGGACAATAGGTACTGTTTCAATGCCAAATCTAACGGAGAAGGTCGAGAGACTCATCAAGACTAGTCAGAAGAGAAGGTTGCTTTTTCACCATGATTTTTTTTTCTTTTTTTTTTTTTTTTTTTTTTTGCCAGCACATCATTTACCATAATTTTGGAAAACTGGATATTTAAGACTTGAAACAGACCGTCTGAATATGATTTGTTTTCAACAATTCACAAGCAATATGAAACAGGCCAGAAGTCTTATTTTCCTCATTTTTCCTTATGACTGTTTGATTATGGCACAAATTCAAGGGACAGCTTTCTTACTAAGAAGATTAAGCCAAGGATACTAATCATTTGGCCTGTTCTTTAATGATAGAAACTAACAGTTATGACCAAGATAAATAATTAAATAGAGTAGTCCCTATGGTTACTCACAAGCCCCCATAGAGCTATAACTTGATGAGGTACCAGCTTGAAGACATCCAGAAAAAAACAATGTGCTATGGATGGTCTTGTTCAAAAAACACCTTATCATTCGTCTTACAACATGGAAAACAAGAGGAGGTAAAATTACCATCCAACAAGTCGGGTGCAAAGAAACACTTCAAGCACATAGCATTTATAAAAAAAAACAAAAAACAAACAAAACCCACAACATACAGCCATTAGAAGAAAGAGCAAGCAAATATCGCTGCTCATCAGAATGGCAGAGGATAAATGACACAAAGAACTCTAAAATCTCTGTTTGAGAACCGCATGGTTGTATTACATGTAATCACATCTCTTTTAATCCATGTTATTTATATTACACATCCCAGGAGGGCTACCAACACAAAAATCACTTCTCCAAGGCTTAAGAAAATTAGGTCATAGAAGATCTTCCTACCTCAGTATGGAAATGTGAAGATAATGGAGCAAGATCCAGCACCAGCGAGTGGAGATGGAGTGATGGTTCCTATTCAGACTGGAAAAAGCTGGTACGAACTCTCCAGATCAGCGCCTGCAGAGGAAAGAATATGAAGTACATAAGGAATACTGAAGACTTTGGAATAACACACCAAAATAACCACAAGTTTGTTCATAGCATAGAGTAAATAATATGTTTTATTTGTGTTGGCTCAAATTCAGTCAACAGTCCTTATTGTTCTACCTCTCCTGTGACTGCAGGTTGACCTACAGCACATTTATACGATCGGTACATTTTGCAACAGGGAGCTGCACTTTCCCATTCACTTTTCAGTGCACTTCCCAGCTGCCTGGCTTAATATACGAACAATCGCATCAGCTACACATATGTGGCTTTGCCAATGGAAAACCTACAGGTTTACCTGTACCAAGGCCTTTCTCTGACTTGTCTGTCAGCAAAGAGAGAAGTTCTTTGGTCTCATGTTTCTGTTTTAACCACTACAGCTCAGCACTGCTAACAAGCAGGGGAGTAGGTGCATAAGGAATGAAAACAAATATGAGTAAGAGTTAGGAGAAACAACTGGATTCAGGACAAGCCTTCAGCTTCCCAAAGAAAGCATGACTTCCAGTGCAGAGTTCAGGCAGCTGGAGGGATCACTGCACAGAAGGTGGGACGTGCTGGAGCAGCCACGGCAGGAGACCGCAGGGAGGGGACCTCTTCCATTTCCCTGGTGTTCTTGCTGCACTCACACCTCTGCAGTTGCTGTGAAATTAGGAATGGGACTTTCAGACATCTAGTTTCCCTCTTCTCAATTTTTTGCTCTTCTGTCTACCTAACCATACATTTGAATGCATTTTACCATTTGCTTTCTTTCAGAATCTTGTTTAATCACTTGGACAGCAGGGGGAAAAAGCATGCAGGACTCTAGCATGGGGTTGAGACAGAAAGCCAAGCCAGCTGATGTTCATATCATTATGGGATCGGTCTGCAGCAGAGACTGCAACCTGCAAACTGAGGGCAGGGGTGTGCTGATGGTGCTGCCTCTGTCTCACCCTGGCTGACACTGAGTGGTGCACAGCGGCACAACCATGGGGCACGGACGTGTCCGAGGCACTGCAAGTGAAAAGCTGTGACGGCTCCGATTCAAGGCTTGGGCTAAACATGAACAACAGAAGAAGGAAGCTTTCTGAAATAAAAGATACCTTCAGAAAAATGGAAGTTGTTTCCAAACAATGAAAATGGAAAAGGACATAAATCTAACAAGTGAAACCAAGTAAAACCGTGATAAGGCAGAGCCAAAACAGATCCCGAAGAACAATTGTTAGAGTTATGAGAGCTAATAAAAACTTTACAAACACAAAAGCAGGAAGCCTGTCAGTCACCCAGAACAGCTGATAGATGATCAAGGCGTAAAGGGAGGAATTAAGAAAGATAAGGGTACAGCAGCAAAATTAAATTAATTCTTTGCACTGATGCTCGCCATGGAGGAGGTCAGGAAGGTTCATATACCAGAGTAACAAATCACCAGAAGCAGACAGGACTTCCTCAGGAGTTTTAAAAGAGCTCAAATGTGAAATTGCAGAACTTTCTTCCCTTCTTTCCTTGACCTTCCTTCCTTCCTTCCTGAGAACTGGAAGGTGACAAATCCTTAAAACGAACTTTGGGAGTGATCATGGGAATTATAGACCAGAAAGTCAAATTTTCAGAACAGGCAAATGGTAGAAAACAGTAAGACAGATCTGAATGAGCAGCCACGAGTGGACACGGTGTTGTGGGAGGACTCACAAGGCCAGGGGAAGCTTCGTCTGTATAAATCCAAGCTGTCCGACAGAGGCAACAGCCCCGCTAATACGGGTGATTGGGTCTCATACAGCAGGATCAGATTTTCTCAAAGCTTTGCTAGGACATCCCTCACTAAAGATTCTTAAGGAAACTAAACTGTCACGGAGCACAGGGGATTAATCTTGCGGTGAATTCCTGACAAAAAGATAGGGGAAAGAGGGTACAAACAAAGTGTTAGCAAGGGAGGGGAGCAGAAGATTCTGCACTGCTCCAGCATACTCATAAATAACCCAGAGAGAGCAGATAGCGAAGTGGCACAGAGATAACGCAGTTAACACACACAGTTTTTCAGGAAAGTCAAATTTAAAACTATCAGCAAAGAGTTCCTGAAAACACTCACAGAAATCAGCGACGGGGTGATAAAATGCAAGTGCACAGCCCTGGCGAAAGAGAAAACTGGTTTTAACTAACGGGGAAAGCTTTACTTGCTGTAGTAAAGGGCTTGACTTGGGAAAAGATACCGGCAGCTTGAGGGCTAGCGGGAGAGGAAAGGTTAAGTTCTAAGTCTGCATATCATTTTTTTGCTCATAGAATAGCATCCTCCATCCTCAGGGAATCCTTAGAGGAAGAGCAGAGAAACAGAAAGCTCAGGCTTCTCATTTTGGCCATATAACAGGATTAATTACTTGGACTTTGGCAGATACTTTGAGGATAGATTCCCCCAGCCTCGGCAGTGGTACTGGAGATGAGACAACAGTCCTATTGCTGCTACCAGATTAGTTACAGGAGAATACATTACTCTGTCCTCTGACAGATTAGATGAAAGAAATATTTCTTTTCCTGAAGGCTCTGCCACACATGGGAAACCCCCCCTCACTTTTGGCAGAACGGGGAGCAAACACCTCCCCCCTTTGGGAATTGCCCTCCAAACTGGCTCTTCCTCCAAGCTGAGGAAATCCCTTTTGAAGGGCTGGGCTGGGCTGGGTGGGGGTCCTGAGGCTGCTCTGAGGGGAACAGCACCGGTGGACAGTGCTCTGCTCAGGGGCTGGGGGCTCGCTGTTCCTACCCCCGGCTTGGCAGGAGGCGCACGGCTGCAGCGGCTTCCACGGCCCACTGGTGATACCGGGGGGTCCCCCACTTTTGGGGAGATGGGGGGAGAAGGGACAGGAGCAGAGAGCACAGTTCTGGCCCCATGCACACAGCTGCCTTTTGCAGGAGGGCTGTGGTGGGCGCAGGGCTCTTCCCTACGCGTGGACTTGCCCGCTCCTCTCCTGGGGCTCAGGATGAACGCAGCAACCCCTTCTGCCGGGCTGCGACTGAGCCCTAGCCCTGTCCATCAGCCGCCGCTGCGGTTTTACAGCAGAGCAGCCCCCGTGCAGCACGCACGGAGCAGCTAACAATGCAGGCGCTGAATTAACCCGGAGGCCTCCTCGGCGGCACAGGAACAAAGCGCGTGGCGAGGGCCGCGGGCGGCGGGGAGCGGGCGGTGGTTGCTGGGCACCCTGCCCGCTGCGGGGAGCAATGCGGGCAGCGTCCTCCGGCCTTTGTGCCGGCCGCCGGGCACGGCGCTGAAAGGCGCCTGCACGCGCTTTGTCTCGCCGCGTGCCCACATACTGGGGCCGCTTGTTTTCATCTGATGGCAATTAGCACCATGCTAAATGCCGCGTGCCCCGCGCTAATTCGGGAGGATGGGCACGTCACACCCTGCCAAGAATTACAACCAGCCGCGGATGAGAGCGAGGCATGCCTGCTCTTTCATTAGGCTTTTGTTTCACAAGAGAGGGCTCGAGGACTCTCCTTTTTTGCCAGCAGTACCAGTGGAGGCGCTGGAGCGTGTGGAGGCCGTGCGGTTTGGCCTCCAGGCCGTGCGTGCACGTGAAAGCGCAGCACGCGGGTGGATCGTTACCGCTCCCTGGCCTGTGGTGCCTCTCTGGAAAATTAAAAAAACTCGGCCATCTCCAAGATGCTGAAAATCCCGAGATGCATCTGTGCTACACACGGGTGTGCAGAGCTCGGTGCATGCTGTAAGGCCAGCGGAGGGACCGCCGTCCCCCTGCCCGCACCCCGAGCACAGAGCCAGGACTCGGCGTGCAGCTGCGCGATGCCCCACGCCCTGTCCCTGTAAATATTTGCGGGGCAGGGGGCTGCCCGGGTTGCACTTGGCTGATGGTATATAACATCGCTTTCAAAACCTGAGATGGAAATGAAGCAAAAATCAGTAGTTTCCCTAATGAAACAGAGCCAGAAGCTGATGGGCGCAGCTCTCCAGCAGCCAGCCCCCAGTGTGCAGCTCCCCATGGAGCCACGGCCCCGGTGCGCAGAGCTGGAGGAGCACAGGAGGGAGGGAGCTCCCTGGGGGCACCTGCACCTCCCCGGCTGCCACGAGAGCCTGCTCCTGGCCTGCTGCCTTCAGCCACCATTCAAACACTGCTTCCCGGATCAGCATTAGGAGATGTGGAAGCCCTGAGTAGGGACAAACTGCTGTCCACAGGTCTTGGATATTAAGCCAGTGACATTCCCAACATTTCTGGGTGGTGATTCCCACGTTCCTGGTGATGGTCAACATCTGCCATAAAGGCAGCAGTCTGGCTTTCAAAGGACACTTAGCTCTCCTAAAACTGGCCTGTTTTCAATATCCAGATCATTGTAACCTGTATGTGCAGACCATTGCAAAACCTCCCTAGTTCAAACAAACTACATGGAGGATGTTGTGAATTACCGAATTTGTCAGATTAACAGTACAAGAGCAAACAGTTCAAAAAAGACAATGCCTTAATGCAATTTAATGTATTTTCTTAATTGTAGCTTGATTATTATGCTAATTCGTAATGAATTATGAACTGTATTAGAAATAATTGGTAAAACAACAATAATATTTAGTAAGCCTAGAGAGTTGTTCTGCTTTTGTTTTTTCTTTAACACTTCATCACTTATGCGGATAGTCATATACTTGGCTGGACCCTTGTCCTCATGTAGCAGACACACAAACATCGAAATACCAGCAAGTCTTCCTTCACTCAGCAGATGAAGTCATTCTGTTGAGCTCTGGGGTTACTTTCTGAGGAGCTACAGAAGGTGTGCAGATCCTCCACACACCCTGCCAGCCGTTCCTGCAGGCAGCTGCACGTGCGTGTGCTGCTCTGCTGCCTGCTGCCCTCTCACACCACGCTCCATGGAGGAATCAGGCTCGCCCCATCCTTTGCTCTGGGACAACGCTCTGATGGCATGAGGAGAAGATGGGCCAACAGACAGTGGCAGAAGGGAAAGAGATGCTGTCGACACCTGCCCATGGAAGCTGTGGATGTCCCATC